CGATTCGGCGACGGCTCCGTCGTCGGAATTGAGGGTCGTGGCAAGATCATTTTTGAGTGCAGGAATCAGGAGCACCGAGCGTTGACGGGGGTGTATTACATCCCTAAACTCAACGCCAACTTGATAAGTTTGGGCCAGCTCGATGAAAATGGGTGCGACGTCCGTATCTACCACGGTGTTTGCACGATACGGGACCCGGCGGCCCAGCTGCTCGCACGCGTTCAGCGGACGCGGAATCGCCTGTACTTGATCAAGCTCACCATTGGGCAACCGGTGTGCCTCGCGGCCAAGGCGCAGGAGTGCGCCTGGCTGTGGCATGCGCGCTACGGCCACCTCCACTTCGACGCTCTGCGACGACTGGCGAGCCGCGACATGGTGCGCGGCATGCCCGACATCGATCATGTCGAGCAGCTGTGCGACAGCTGCGTCATATCTAAGCAGCGACGCACCCCGTTTCCACGCCGCTCCATGTTTCGTGCTGAGGATCGCCTTGAGCTGGTGCATGGCGATCTGTGTGGTCCCATCTCGCCGGCAACCCCTGGAGGCAAGACTCATTTCCTCCTGCTTGATGATGCGAGCAGGTACATGTGGATCACTCTGCTGGGATGCAAGAGCGAGGCGGCTGATGCCATCAAGCGCTTTCAGGCGCGAGCCGAGGCGGAATCCAAGCAGAAACTGCGCATCCTCCGCACCGACAACGGTGGCGAGTTCACCTCGGTGGAATTCGCCACCTACTGCGCCGAACAGGGAGTCTCACGCCACTTCTCCGCGCCCTACTCGCCCCAACAGAATGGCGTGGTGGAGCGCCGCAACCAAACCATCCTTGGGATGGCTCGCAGCTTGTTGAAAGCCAAGAACATGCCGGCACGCTATTGGGGGGAGGCTGTCACGACGGCAGTTTTTCTGCTCAATCGCGCGCCGACAAAGAGCTTGGCCAACATGACACCTTATGAGGCGTGGCATGGGAAGAAGCCGGCGGTGGGTTACCTGCGCACGTTCGGGTGCCTGGCCTATGTCAAGGACGTGCGGCCTCACCTCCCCAAGCTCTCTGACCGCAGCAAGCCGATGGTTCTCATCGGATACGCCGACGGAGCCAAGGCGTACAAGGTGTTCGATCCGGTGTCTGGACGAGTGCAGGTCTCGCGCGACGTGATTTTCGACGAGGGCGCTGGGTGGGACTGGGATGCGGCGGGCGCTGCAGCCGTCCCCGGCGGCGGAGGTTGCTCAGACTTCACCGTCGAGTACCTGACAACGGGCACATCACCGTCGGCTTCGACCTCGGCTCCATCATCTGCATCTTCGGGCGCTTCCGCGTCAAGGGCATTCACGCCGTCGTCGTCGTCGACACCCGCCACCTTGGCGTCGGCCTCAAACGCCCTCTACACCGACATTCGTCTCACCGCCACCAGGCATCGACGAGAACCTGGACTCGGAGCAGGATGATTGTCCACTGCTGTTATCGCAGTATGGGTGATCTACTGGGCGACGCACTTACGCCTGGGTTCGCAACCCGGGATCCGGAGGAGGGGGAGCTTCATCTCCTTGCGGCCGAGGAACCAGCCTCGTTCACTGAGGCTGAACAGCGGCAGGAGTGGAGGCGGGCTATGCTGGATGAAATCGCCTCAATTGAGGAGAACAACACATGGCGCCTTGTCGATCTCCCGTCCGGCCATCGTGCAATTGGCCTCAAGTGGGTCTTCAAGCTCAAGAAGGATGCAGAAGGCAGAGTGGCAAAGCACAAGGCTCGCCTCATCGCGAAAGGCTATGTGCAGCAACCCGGCATCGACTTTGAGGAAGTGTTCACCCCGGTTGCACGGCTGGAATCTGTTCGGTTGTTGCTCGCTCAGGCCGCGCAGGCAGGCTGGACAGTGCACCATATGGACGTCAAGTCCGCGTTCCTCAACGGTGAGCTAGCCGAGGAGGTCTACGTCAAGCAGCCGCCCGGTTTCGTCAAGGAAGGCCGTGAACACCAAGTCCTTCGGCTTGACAAGGCGCTGTACGGGCTGCGCCAAGCGCCCCGTGCGTGGAACTCCAAGCTCGAAGCCACCCTGCTGTCTCTCGGCTTCCGGCGGAACGACTGCGAACATGCGGTCTATGTTCGAGGTAACACCAGTGCACGGTTGCTCGTTGGTGTTTATGTCGACGATCTAATCATCACAGGGACAAAGGAGGATGAGATCGTTCGATTCAAGGGCGAAATGAAGGCGTTGTTCAAGATGAGTGACCTCGGGCTTCTCAGTTTCTACCTGGGTATCGAGGTCGAGCAGGTGGCGGGCAGCATACGGCTGTCACAGGCAGCATACGCACGCCGTATCCTTGAGCGAGCAGGGATGCTGGGATGCAACCCGAGCGCCACGCCAATGGAACAACGCCTCAAGCTCAGCAAAACCAGTGCTGCGGCGTCGGTGAACCCCACCTGGTACCGTGGCATCGTTGGCTGTTTGCGGTATCTGGTACATACGAGGCCGGATATCGCGTTCTCGGTGGGCTACGTGAGCCGCTTCATGGAGGCGCCCACCACCGAGCACGAAGCGGCGGTGAAGCGCATACTGCGCTATATCGCCGGCACGACGGAGTTCGGGTGTCACTACCACCAGTCCAGCAGCCCCGTTCAGTTGGTGGGATACAGTGACGCGGACATGGCCGGCGACCCAGACACGCGCAAGAGTACGACCGGTGTTGTCTTCTTCCTCGGGACAAGCCCGGTCAGCTGGCAATCCGTCAAGCAAAAGGTTGTCGCGCTTTCGTCTTGCGAGGCGGAGTACATCGCTGCGACAACGGCTGCATGCCAAGGCGTCTGGCTCTCTCAGTTGCTAGGAGAGATCAATCAAGAAGAGCCGGACGCGTTCAAGCTTCTCATTGATAACAAATCAGCAATTGCCCTCAGCAAAAATCCGGTGTTCCACGAGAGGAGCAAGCACATCGCTACCCGCTACCACTACATTCGAGAACGGGTGGAAGATGGCTCCGTTCATGTCGAGTTCGTCGGGACTGAGGGGCAGATTGCAGACATTTTGACCAAGGCACTTGGGCGCACACGTTTTCAGGAGCTTCGCTCCCGCATTGGCGTTGCCGACGTCAAATTCAGGTGCAAGACTTAGGGGGAGATTGTTGGATACTTTGATTAAGTTAGCACCTGTTCTACCGCTTTGTTAGGGTAGGTTTTATCTCCTGTCTTTTACTTGCATGTTTTCAGGGCTCGGTTATTAGAACGAGCGCGTCCATAAGCCCCGTGCGTATGTTCACGGCGTGGCAGTAATGTAGCGAGTCGCCCACTGCACGATCCGATCGTGTGCGATGGCGCACGACGCACTGGGTCGTGTGGCGGGCAATGCGGATCACGTCGATCACGTTCTCTTGTATTTCGCAAATAAAAGGAGAAGTAAAGAAACAGAAAAGCTGCGCCGTATTATGCAGCACAATCTCTGTGTGCAACTGTGTCTTCCTCGCGTGCGTGTGTGTTGTGCTTTCCAGTGATCTCGCCGGCGGCTACCTCGCCGGGCTTCATCGTCATCTCGGCGACGCCAGCCGAGTCCCCGATCGAAGTCGGGGTGGTCGTCATTGTAATGACGCCGACTATCCTTGTCGCGGCCGTCCCTCTCGCGGCCGAACCTGTCGCGTGTGTCGTCATCACGACCACGACGGTTGACGTCGCGCCGGTCGACGTTACGCCGGTCTCCCCTGTTGCGGCTGCCACGGTCCTTCTCCATCTTGCCGCCCTCATCGCGACCAGCTCCGGGGTGGAAGAGGCCTTGCGGCGGCGGCGGGTGGTGAGGGAACTGCGGGAACACACGCTCCGGCGCCGGTTCACCATCGGCCACCCCAAGGTGCCACGGTGGAAGACGACGCTTCGCCGGGGTGACAGCCGCGTTCTCATCAAGAGTCACCGTGGCCGAAGTGTAGTCGTGGATTTCTTTGAGGTGGACATATACACAGTACTTGACACCGTGTTGCCACCGCTCCAGCGGCTTGTCAGAGAACGACACCAAGCCGGGCTTTTTGCCACGAGTGCTGTTGGTGAAGATCAGCCAGATGCGCTTGGGTATGGAGCTTGGGTTGCCCGTCCACGCCCACACGCTGATCCAACGCGTGTCCGGCGGGTGGATGAGGCTGGTCTCGATGCTCTCCAATGCGCACGTCTTCGCCACAGTACGCTCAACAATATCGGCCTCCCAAGCGTGCCGCGGTATGCCGTCGAGGTAGAGACGGACCCGGAACATCAAGGCGACACCGAGGGCACTCTTGAGGCTACGCCATTTGACGTAGTGGAGCTCAACGCCGTGGCGCTTGACGAAGCCCTTCCGCAGCGCTTCCACACAATGGCGCTGGTGCTCGAACTTGATCAGGAAGGCCTCGGGGTGGTGTCGTGAGACGAAGACGTCGCCCTCACGAAGATGGAATTCCTCCTTGAAGATGGCCTCGACGTCCCTTGGAGTGATGGACGCAGGCGCTTTTGCCGCCCAGGGGATGATCGCCGTGGACTCCCAGTCCTTGAGCTCAACCTCCGTGGCGTGTGGAGTGGGGATGAAGTACTCCTCCTCAGGCCGAGTGGATGGGTCGCCGAGTTTAGCCATGGCCGGAGACGGCCGTGTCGGTGGCGGCGGAAGCGGCGTGCGGTGGTGTTTCTGGCCGTGCGGTGGGGGTTCTCTGTGGTGGCGGTGTGGAACGTCTTGGCGGTTGCACGGAACACGGGGCAGTTGGACGGGCGGAGGCTTCAACGGAGGTGGCGGCGTGGAGTTACGGTGACCGTGGAGCTGGCGACGCTCCAGGCGGAGCAGAGCCAGATGAGCGTGAGCTCGGCAGGATCTGGCCCTGTGTCCCGTCCTCCGGCAGAGGAAGCACCTGACCGGGTCACGGCAGTGGGAGGCGCGGTGGTCTCTCGAGAGGCAAACGAAGCATCTTCCACTTGTTGCTTGCTGAAAGAGGCGGAGGGAGGCTGACGCTTCAGCAGGAGCGCGGTGGCGAGGAGGAGAGCGGATTGAAGGCTCGTCCCATCTCCTTGAAGCTGGTGGTTGGGGAGCAGTTGAATGCGCTGCGCGTCGCCACCAATGGCGCACTTTGACTTGCTGCTAGCCCGGCTCCAGAGTAGTGAAGTCCTCCGGCGCGACCGTACCATGGATGGGACGTCGGGTCATCTCCGTCTCCGGCCTAGGCCTGTAGGCAGAGAAGTAGCCTCGGCGCCGGGGTGGCTCACGCCTGGGAGGCGGAGTAATTGCCACCTTCAAAGTGCGACGCGGTGGTTGGAGGCGCGGACCGAATTTGAAAATCGGCGGCGAAGCGGTCGCGACCACATCCTTGAAGGAGCGCACGGAGGGTGGCAAGCGGGATCCTGGCGGATCCGGTGTGGCGGAGACATGGGAGACGCCTCCCGGATAGACCCAAGCTGCGGATCTGGGTGGCGGTGGCGGGGGGATTCACACCACAAGGCGCTTTGGAGCAGCCTGGACGACGGCGGGGATGCAGAGGGCAGCGGCCCGGATGGCCCCGCGGACGGCGCGGCGACTTGGGGTCGACGAAGCAGCGAGGGCGGCGGGCGTAGGGCCAGCGGCGCCGGCGGCGGGGAACTGGGCGACGAGCGTCGCATGCTTACCTTTCAACTCCTGAAGTTGGTACTTAGTTTTAGAATTCTGTAACTGGATTGTATACTCTTGTTTCTGAAATTTAATGCAAGCTCCTATCTTCCCTAAAAACATTTCGTTTTTTGGTCTACCCCTTCCTGTCAAATAAATTTGACATTGGGAGTATTAGTTCAAGTACCCCCAACATCAAATATATTTGACCGGCGGGAGTAGTATTGAGTCACAGATAGTTGATTATTTGTTTCTTTCCAGGTGAAAAGGATCCCAGAGACGTTCACTTCATCGTCAAATTACTTTAACTCATTTACCTACCCATTACTTGAAGAAACACATGTTGATGTCTTTTCATCGTTGGATGGTTATTCTCACCAAAACTTCATATCAGTAGCCCGAATGAAGGAACTGCTGCATGACGATGAGACCACGTTCTTCTGTTTTGAGGTTGCAAATCCAGCAAAGGATGAGAAATCCAAGGAAACATATGCGCCATGTGAGGGTGATATAATAGTCCTTACCTCCCGAAAGCCCAAGCAAGTGTCTGATTTGACACGAAATATGACTTCGTACATCCTAGGTTCAATTGTCAAAGGTGGTGAAGACGATGATGATCTCCCAGACAATTGCTTCATTGCTAGATTGTCATCAGTGCTTCCAGTGGAAACTGATTCTTCAACAAATGAACCAAAGGAGCCATTGTTCGCGGTAATCCTCATAAATATGAAGACATACGATCGGATTTGGGATTGTCTTCACAAGGGAAACAGCCATATTGTTGATACAGTCTGGCGGTACAAGTCAAAGGTATTTTCAGTTTGTAGACGCATAATAAAAAAATGTGGGACACTGTGGTTTAGCCTGGTCTCGATTTAATTAAGAAGGAATAGGCACCCAAATTCTAGTTAAATAGTAGTGGGGGGGGGTGTAAACCACACCCTCCAACCAAAGAGCTAGGGCCAATTCCTTGTAGAGCATAATAGCATATCTATTTGTCATGTCTAATTGTCTTATTGTTTGAGTCATTAAATTCAGCACCCTATTGGCTCTTGATGCATGATAGTTTCAACTACCTATTGCTCTGACTGTTGCTTTTGCAACTAAAGTAAGAAACACACTTAAAAGTTACAATCTTGGCATTCCTATTTGCGCTAAATTAGCTTGAGTAGTGATGTTTTTGGAATTTGAAGTGCGGGTCATGCTTCTTGGCTACCACACATGTGTTAAATCTTCAGTATGTTGTTTAGATTGGAATATGAATCTGATATATTTTAAAGATTCAAATGATACAGTGCCCTTATTTGTCAACACTTGGTAATGAACTAATGGCATTTTCCCAAGTGCATATAAACAACACTATCTTGTTAGTAGTATTTCTGATGATTGAATTGTTTGCACAACGTTTATTTGTGAAGGAAGTGGATGAGGCTATGTCATCAAGCTCCCAATTATCTCAACGGTTCGCTGCTAGATCAGCCGTTGATCTTAATCTTGAGAAGTACATGCTCAACAATTCACAACTGAATGCTGTTGCAGATTGTGTTCTGGTCTCAGAAAAAATCTCTTCTCCTATTAAACTAATATGGGGACCTCCTAGGACGGGTAAAACCAAAACCATCAGTGCTTTACTCTGGGTAATGTTGCATTCAGGACACCGGACACTTACTTGTGCCCCTACTAATACTGCTGTCCTAGAGGTTGCATCTCGAATTGTCAAGCTCGTTCATGAGTCTCCTGCTAGCAGTGGCCAATATCTAAGCGACATCGTTTTGTTTGGAAACAAGAAGAGGATGAAGATAGGTGAAGATCATGATCTCTCTGTGGTTTTTCTCAGCTCTCGCACCGAGCGGCTGTCACAATGTTTTGAGAGTATGAAAGGATGGAATCATTGCTTGTGTTCACTAATAGATTTTCTTGAGATACCTGTGACAAAAAAAATACAAGTGGTACACTGTTCAGATGAAAATGAAAGGACCAAATTCAGTAGTTCTACCACTCAAGGAATTTGTCAAGGACAAATGCAATGAACTTTTGGAAGATTTCTACTATTTCATGGAGATATTATGCACTGATTTTCCACGAAACTCCATGATGCGTCAGAGCTTCCAGTACATGAATGAGGTGGTTGAACCATTGAATATTCTCCATATATTCTCCATGCATTGATAAATGTTAATGATAATAATGATGACAATTTATGGTTCGATGATCTCTTGAATGGAAAAGGGCATGGGGACAGTGATCCACTCAAGTGGCCAGATCTGCTAGCCTCAGTGCACACGGATGTGTGCAACAAATCAAAGATCAGAAAGGCAAGATTACTCTGTGTTCGAATATTAAGATATCTGAAGATCAACTTGAAGCTTCCTGATTGGGATCGCTTGAGCCTTTCTGATGATGACCGCAAGAGAGAAATTCGAGTCTACCTGTTGCAAAGAACAAAATGCATTCTCTGCACTGTTTCTAGTTCTTATGTGTTGCACAATGTGTCCATGGATGACAGGTCTGAGTGCTTGAAACCTCTGGAACTGTTGGTTGTAGATGAAGCTGCACAGTTAAAAGAGTGTGAGACCTTAATTCCCATGCAGTTGCCTGGCATAAAGCAAGCTGTTTTTATCGGAGACGAATGCCAGCTACCTGCTCTGGTTAAAAGCAAAGTATGTGTCTAGTGCTAATGCTTTATTCCACTTTGTTTTCCCATGTTTAAACTTCAAAATAACCAAGTGTTTTTACTCTTGCAGATTTCTGATAATGCTGATTTCGGAAGAAGTGTTTTTGAGAGGTTAAGTTCCTTGGGCTACAACAAGCACCTCCTGAACATTCAGTACAGGATGCGACCAGAGATAAGCAAGTTTCCAGTTGCCAGTTTTTATGATGGCAAGATCTCAGATGGTCCAAATGTTGTCAGCAAGAACTACAAGAGGAACATTTTGCCAGGCAAAATGTTTGGACCTTACTCGTTTATAAATGTAGATGGTGGCCATGAAACAACTGAAAAACATGGCCGGAGCCTTAAAAATACCATAGAAGTTGCTGCTGTGCTGTGGATCGTGCGGAGACTATTTGAAGGTAGGATCATCTGCATTTCTGGAGCTTTGGTGCTATAAATGATATATGTGAACATAATATGTATGATATTCATGCTGTCTTAACCACCAGTATTGCTAACCCCGCATCTTTTGTTGTTACAGAATCGGTTTTTTTGGGAAGCAAGCTCACTGTTGGTGTAGTGTCACCGTACAATGCTCAAGTTAGAGCTATCCAAGAGAAAATTGGTAAGACTTACGATATGTATGATGATTTCTCTGTGAAGGTAAAATCGGTGGATGGTTTCCAAGGTGCGGAGGAGGATGTCATCATCATATCTACTGTCAGAAGTAATAGAGCTGGTTCAGTTGGGTTTCTCACAAACCTGCAGCGGACAAATATGGCTCTGACAAGGGCTAAGTAAGTGTAATGATTGCCCTTACAATTAACAATTTGCTAATTGCTCCTTTTAGTTAGTTATTTGGCTTATGTTTGTGGCAGGCACTGTTTGTGGATAGTAGGAAATGGGACGACTTTGTCCAACAGTAGATCTGTTTGGCAGAAAGTGGTGAATGATGCAAAGCATCGAGGTTGCTTTTTCGAGGCAAGCGAGTATAAACATTTATCCAATGCAATTGTCAATGCTGTTATTGAGCTCGATGATGCTGAGAATTTAGTAAAAATGGACTCGCTCCAGATCACCAATCCCAGGTTTCAGGTATTGAAAAGAATTGGCAAAATCACATCATCCCATGGTTATTGTTAGTCCTTTAACTTCAGCATGGGTATAATCGGTTAGAACTAATTACATTTTTTTCCTTTCTTTGTTTGCAGAGAGCCGGGTCGAGGTACCGTGCATGAGTGGTCTAGGCCACCCAGTTTTAGTTTTTTTGCCGGGTCGGCCGAAACACCCAGTTTTAGTTCCATCTTGTAATGCCTCGAATGTGTGGGATAGCGTACTACGCGTCATGCTTTTGCCACCTGGACTTGCTAAGGGAAGTTTCCATCGATGACGCGGCAGATATTGTCGGACGCGCTTCATTTTGTTGAACCTGAGCTCGTCGTATGCCAGCTGCACAAGCTCTCTTATTTAATCGATTTGCCTGTCTTAATCTACAGAAGTCATTTTAATACAGTGGTGCTCTATGGACTATGGGCAATCCATGTTGCAATGTGGTCGTTATTCATTACACATGTGTGCAGTGTGCTGTGTCAGTGTGTTGCTGCAGTTGTGTACTTGTGTTCGGGATAAGAGGGATTGTGTCGTGGTGCGCGTTTGCCATGCGCGCGGCGTGCCTAGCGCGGTGAACCTCTGCAGTAGATGTGATCATGCAGGTTGTCCGCATCAATTTGTTCCCTTGCTCGTTAGCTGTACCGCCCAGCATCAACACATCTTCAGCTAGGAGCCTAATCAACACATCTTCAGTTAGGAGCCTAGGACTTCAACGTGTTGTGGTGAGACATTTGTTTGTTGTAGCGACTGGCGAACGAGCCAGGCCGCTCCGTTCGTGTGAATAATCTCTGTTTCTGTTGTACTCCCTTGGTCCTATAATATAATATAAGGGACTTTAGAGGGATGCGACATTTTCTAGAACTACGAATATGGACAAAAGCGAAAGTGTCACATGCCTTCAAAATCCCTTATATTCTAGAACGGAGGGAGTACCTAACAAGAGTACCCAGGATCACAATTCACAAGGACATCTTTTACCCGCATCGCCCTCTCGGCTCTCGTGCGGGCAGCTCAGGGTGAAAACCCTAGCCGCTGCCCCACCTACCCCAGTCCCCACCTTCACTTTGTTGCTGCCAAGCGAGCTGCTGACCAACCGCGCGGTGAGTTGGGATGTTGGCGGTGGGGAATCTTCCACAATGAGGAGCTATCTCTCGTGTGGGAGAGGCGGCGCGGCGGTTTAGAGCAGGACAGAGTGGACGAGGCTACTGTGGCAGGGCAGTGGCGTAGCCGAACAGGGGTGGACGAAGGGCGACGGTGTGAGGTAGCTCATGGTGACCGGGCAACGGCCAGATCTGGTCGATGTGGCTGGATCTGTCCCCTACCTTCTAGATCTGACACCCCAATTACAGCTTCCGCGAGGCCGGCATGGGTGGTGCCGATGGCCGTGGGAGGGCGAAGCGGGTGGCGCAAGGAGGTCGCTGTTGGCGGCGCAGGTCGATGCGGCGACGGCAAAGAGACCAGTGACAATGGGTGTACCACGTTTTCATGTGGATGCATGTAGAAGCTAGCTGGTGGCGGGCATTTGTACAACGTTATCCACACGCTAACGAACGATGGTGATGGTGAAGCGATGAGGTGCTAGCTACGGATCGGCAAGAGACGAGCAGTATGTGTAAACCTAGCCCAATCTTGTCGGGCCAACAGCGGCGGCGCTTCGGATATCGTTTTCCCTCTTGGGGGTGTTGTTCGCCCATGTCGTCAGCTATGAGATGCCGACACGGGTGGCGCCAAGAGGTCACTGCGGGCGACGGCAGGTAGGCCGGCCTGACTGACAACGCGGGAGGTTGATGCGGTGACAGTAGGAAGGCCGGCATGGCAGCGGTAGGAGACTGATGACGGCGGGTATACCACGTTTGCACGTGGATGCATGCGGAGGCTAGCGAGTGGGGAGCGTTGGTGCAACGGTGTCCACACACTGACGGTGTATGGCCGGTGGTGGAGCAATGGAGCAATAGTTGCGGATTGACAGGGTGTCTGGTGCAAACCTAGCTCGATCTTGTCGGGCCGACAACAACGGCACTTCAAGCGTCGTTTTCCCTCTTGGGAGCGTTGTCGAGTCATTTCTCTCTCTTTGGTGAGTTGGATCTTGTGTGAGTTCTCTCTAGATGTTTTGTCCTCCTGCAGTGGCGCCCTAGCTAACGTAAGTTGGCTATGTTGACGGGCCTTGTGGGGGGAGAGTGGATCCATTTTCTCTCTCTCTCTCTCTCTCTCTCCCTCCCCCCCCCCCCCTCAATTCCAAAGGTGTGGATAGAGTTGAGTGCGTGGCTCGACTGTTAGGATTTGGTTTGGGCGGTTTGGTTGTTGCTTCTTCGTTGATTTAGCAATGGCGGTCCGGTGCTAGTCTTTTTCTGTGTAGATGTTATCTGTGTATGGTGTTAGTCTTGTAGTTTTTTTCTACTTTATTCAATTAAACAACATATTGTCTGGTGATATTAGTTAAAAAGAGAGTACCCAGCATAGGGCGATACTAATGTGGCAAGAAGGTCTGTAATAACAAGATTGGATCATGCAGCACAGCTATATTTAAAACCGATCTATACTTCAATAAAATAAAGCAGATTGTTTAAAGAAGGATAAAAGGCTAATAGAAAGAATATTATCCAATCTGGAGAAGTCCTACTTCTCATCTGTTAGTGGATCATGACATCAATACGTTGTTGTTAGCGATCTAAATCCAATCTAATCGTAACAGATGCAATCATGCAAACACTTGTATGCCCCATCTGCCTTTGTATCCTCACAAATTCAGGCCACCTTTCAGCAACAATCACAAAAAGCCCCGGATGGCCCCCGGCGCTCTCACGCCACGTACCCCAAGTCCCCAACACGACGCCGTCGCTTCCACCCCATTCCCCCAGCTTTCCACGGCACCCCACATGGGCGCCGGGCGCGCCGCGAGTGCACGACGCCGCGCAAACGCCTCGCCGCCTCGTCAGCCGAGGCAGAACGCCACAGCGTCCACGCAATCCCTCCACTACCGATCTCGTCTTTTCCACTCGAACCGAGTCATCAGTCGTGCGTGCATGATGCTGCACACACACACTCGCACACCCGGTCACGCATGCATCAGCCAAAAGCTCCAAGAATCAAAAGCGGGCGGTGATGATGCCATCTGTAGAATCGTGCGCACATGGCCGGTATATGCAAGGATTGTCCCATGATGACGGCCGCCTTTTGGTTCGGGGTTGTGTGTGTGTCACATGTGTGCGTATATAAACGCGGACCACGCTGCTCTTGCCGTTTATCTGCACTCCGCTGATCCCTCTCGATCGGCCTAGGTTTTGCCGGCTAAAATCAGATGGGTGACATGCAAATCGTCCTGGCCGCAGGCAAAATCGAGGCGCAGTACGTGGAGATGAAGGTGCCACTCTACTCCTACGGCTGCGAGAAGAAGATCAAGAAGGCCCTGTCGCATCTGAGAGGTACATACCTATACATTCTACGCATCTGAAATTTTCACGGTGAAACATGAACAGATCAGAAACTGATCCCTGAAGCAAAATACAATGAGTTTGATCGGTGAACTGATCGCATGGCATGTTCAATTGTTTGGATGCGCTGCAGGGATACACTCGGTTCAGGTGGACTACCAGCAGCAGAAGGTGACGGTGTGGGGGATCTGCAACCGCGACGACGTGCTCGCGGCCGTTCGGAAGAAGCGGCGAGCGGCGCGGTTCTGGGGCGCCGACCAGCCCGACCTCGGGGAGGACTCGATGCCGGCAGATGCTCGTAAGCACTACCTGCAAGCGTTCACCGCGTACAGGTTTAGGAAGTCTTGGAAGAAGCTCTTTCCACTGATCCGGCTGTGATCCGGAACTCAAAAGTTTCTGTCACGCGAACACGGGCCGCCGGCTAGTGCGATTCAGGAGCGGCACCGGGGTTTCGAATAAATGTACTCTGTTACTGTCTTTTTTGGGTAGTTGATAGTATGTAGATTGGCAGATTGCTGTGATGCCGTGAGTGCAGAACTGACATCCACGTATAGTGAGTGGTACCGACTATTCAGGCAGGGCTTCCTGACTGTGCCAATGCTGAGCTAACAGTGTTAACTGCGCCAGTGCTAACTTATTTCGATTGGAAAAGAGAGATATCTCCTCCACTCGTTCCTCGGTTAAACTTTAGTATTGGCAGCTACTGGGGATGGTAATTTTACTGGAAGATAATGGGCTTAAAACTTGTGGCCTGTGACAGAGCAGGCCAGCTCTGTTCTGTCTTTTGTCACTAACACGGGCTGCTAAGTTTGTGGCCCAAAAGGTCAACGAGAGAGCAATGAAAGCGAAGGCAAATACGCAATAGGTAAACTGAGTGTGTGTTTTCCCTTTTCAGCTGTGAATTTTCTTGGTCCATACTTGCTCCCATTTTTCCCTGTTCTTTATAATGATATGCAAAATCTCGCAAAAAGAAGTACTACGGACATACCGAGTACATTGTGGATTAAAATGAAGGTGCCAAATTTTACCATCACAAATGGTAAGGATAGACTTAAGACAACATTAATTAAATTCATCTTTGAAAATTTTGACTCCCACAAGGCATATACCAAAGGTATACTCCTATTTATGCTTAGGCAATTATGCAGCATATAGATGACCTGAAACACGGACAGGTTTCATCCGTACCTAGCGGTCTTGCTTTTACTATGAACTTTTGAAGAAGATGCTAGAGATGACAAGCTTGGCGTACAAATGGCGCAAGTAGTTAAAACACTAAAAGTAGCTTACGTTGGATTTGGTTGCCACTTCGGTTCTTACCTACCGCACTTGGACGCTTGGGTTTGAACTTTGAACGAACTCGGAGCTTTCCCTGTCAGTCTCAGACGGAAACACAGCGTATGCTGCTAATACTACTCTATTTACTCGTACTACGTATACAAAATATTTTAAGTTATCATTTCCACCCATCAAAGTAGTCCGTGTCATCTTCCCTGCCAAGTGCCAAGAGGGGAAACACCGAAAAAGGTTGAGTTCTGATCCGTCATATCATGATCCAGCAATTCATATCAGGGCTCACCTAAAAGTCCCAAACATGCCCAGATAGATCCAGAGATATTTCTCTGAGCTACACACTGAGCCAGGGAAGACGATGAAGGCAAGCAGGTTGCACATGAGCACATCGTAAGGATCACAATGCGAGAAAGCACAACTTCACTGTCTTTCAAGTTTCTTCTCACCCAAAAAAATACTACTATGTACAGAAACAAATTGATCCGCGAACCTGGACTTTGTCCGACAAGAACCAGCAGCCGACAGAATCGACTAAACCAACTGAGAAAAGCAGAGCACACTCGGCTTAACCTATCCTACGAGCCGGCGAGGGAGTCGTGGGGTCGATCAGCCGCGGGTGGTGACGCGGAGGGCGTGCGACGGCGGCGGAGGGGGCAGCGGCGGCGGCACGAAGGGGAGGCTCCGCAGCATGAGGAACCGCATCCGGCGAGGGAAGGGCGCGTCGTTGAACAGCTGCTCCAGCACCCGGGCCACCAGCACCGTGTACTCCTCGAGCAGCTCCGCCACTACGGCCACCAGGATCATCGCGAACACTGTGTGACTGAGCTTAGCCTTGACGACGAATCGCGTGTGTGGGGTTTGGAGTGACTTGGATGTCGACCTGCACGCACCTAGAGCGGCCGGGGCCCTTTTTATCGCTCGGGGATGGGCGGGTGGTAGGGTGGAGCCGAGGGAGGAATCGCGGCGCGGGAGGGGAGCGTGTCCTGTGGGCAGTGGACGCTGGCTTTTGGTTGGGATGTGAACGGAGCGGCGCCTGGGTTGGCTATTGTGCTCGCGCGAGCGAGACCGCGACGCGCTGCTGGTATGCGCTAGAATACGACAGAAGCAACGGTTTGGGCTCGGTGCGCCCGTGGTTTGGGTTTGGGGGAAGCGGAGAAACAGCCCGGTCACGCGCGGCAAAGGCAGGGAGCCTATCCGGTGAGGATGAGGCAAAACTAAAGCCAAGCCAAGCGCGGGTGACGGCTAGGGGTTCCGGAACTGGTAGCGGCGGCCAATCCAGAACCGTTTCGTCAACGGGGGCTGGGATATTTTTTTTTGTTGTCCATCCAGTCTCCATCGACCAAACAAATCGGAAATCAGGGGCATCGGCGGTTGTCTGAGGTTTTTGTTTTTTTTTCTTTTTTTTTTTGGGGGTATGGTTGTACAATTGACGAACTGAGGAGCAGCTTGGGGAACGTGGTTTTCTACTTTTTCTCTTGCTGTGGTTTGTTGTCGCCTTTGCGCAGCGGTTATTATCTGAGGTTCGAGTCTGAGATTTTTTTTTTGTCATGCCTGTAGTCATGTGGGATCCAAACAAAAAAGAGCACGACAGCAGAAAGCTTAAGTTGATCAGCTAAAACTCCGTCGTGCTCCCTTCGTTTTATGTTACAAGTTATTTTGATTTTTTTTCTCTGACTAAGTTTACGAAAATATTTAAAAACATTGAAAACAATAAAATTTTCATTCAATCTAGCATTAAATATATTTTGATAATAAGTTTATTTTGTGTTAAAAAAGCTAATACGTTTTTTTATAAATTTAGTCAAGGTTAAACAAGTTGATTAAAAAAAGTTAAAATGACTTATAATATGAAATAGAAATACGAACTTTATAAACTTATTATTTCTTTTTCTATCATTATCGTTTCATCGGCGCTAAACTGTTTTCTTTGACAAAGACGTGGTATCCGATATAACTCATCTATGGAAAAGGACCACACAGTCAGTCTGCCACTGTGGACTAATGTGCGGAAAGGACCACAGTCACTGAACCTAAACCCAGAAGTGGCTGCATGGTGGGCCTAATTTTGATGCATGATTGCAAGAAGATGGCTATTTGGAGGCCCGTAGATTAATTAGCCCAAAACATGGGGAGCTCGTAGCCCGCCACAACCTGGTCATCCGGACCTTCTTCGGATTTTGTCCATATTCATTCGGAAATAAGTCTACTTTGACTCCTTTAACTGGTAGCCGAATCTAATTCATATCCTTAAACCACAATACCGGATATCCCAACCGCCCAACTATTAAAACCGGTACAATTTAACTCCTTTGACGGTTTTGAAGGATTGTTTCGCTGAAGTGACACCTACGAGGTGGCGTTGACCTGGACTTCGTCCACGTGGCATTTATATGGTATAAGAATTAAAAACATATATACGACCCATTTGTCATTCATAATAAAAGGAACCCACTAACATGTGGTGCCCAGATGTCATCCTCTCTCTTCTTTTTCCTCCTCTGTGTCTATGCCTCTGTGCCGGCGCACCCACGAGCTTAGCGGCATCGCCTCTCCCCTCCCCCTAACGACAGCCTTGGATGGCAAGGCGGACAACGAGAAGCTAGCTCACAAAGGATTCGGGGTGGTGCTAGCGCGATGGAGGCAGAGGAGGCTACGCCGCTCCAACGCCTGCTCTCGCCCGACCGCCACCGCAACTCCAGCTCCCACCCTCCTGATTGTCGCTGCTCCAACTCCCGTCCTGCTGCCCTCCCAGCCGCCACTCTAGCTCCCGCCCCCTGTAGACGGCCAAAAGCGAAGAGAAATGAGAGAAAGACGGAGGAAAAAGAGGGAAGGAGAGAGAGAGGATGGCATGTGGTCCCCACACATGTAAGTGTTAGTGAGTCCCAAATATTTTTTGTGTGTCCCACATATATGTTTTAAATTCTAATACCACATAAGCGCCACGTCAATATCACGTAGGACGGAGACTAGGTCAACACCGCTATGTAGGCGTCACGCCAGCAAAACTGTGCTTCAAAACCACCATGGGAGTCAAGTAGTACCGGATTTAGTAGTTGGAGAGTCGAGATATCCGGTATTGCGGTTTAAGGATACAAATCAAATTCGGCATCTAGTTAAGGGAGTAAAAGTGGACTTATTCCTAATCATTCTGGCCTAATAAAATATGGACGGGCCAGCGTTTTAGGCCTATATTTCGGCAACACTTTGATACCTTGATTTGGGCTTAGAATGGGATCATCGGATGTCCTTCCGTTCCCCCGTTTCCTTTTCGTCGAGCTTCATAGGAAGATGGAGTGTCTGTTTTAACTTGGACCGGCCATTAATGGAGCATAGCCCAGAAAGAACGTTGAGTCACAACTCACAAGAACGCTGCTATAATCATTGTGCTCCTGTCCTGAACGAGCTTGACATAAATACTGCTAGTTACGGGGCTAATCATTCTTGTTGCCACTTGTGGTTTGTATCATGAGATCCTCGAACTGTTTTCGTACTGGTACCGGATCAGCTTTTACCAGCTTATATATGACGATTTACTCTGTTCTTGGCACAACTTTCACCATGGTCTATACACAGCCCAATTCAACGGTAGTACTCCGTAGTAGTATTTTTGATTCTTTGCTGCGCATTGCAACTTGGATAAGAATATGAAGCAGATCTCGCACGCACTGAGACACGGCGCCGTAAAGTCAGAGCCTGATGCACCAAAAGCCATTACAAATGCCAACGGCCTAACCCCTCATGCCAAGTGGGACTAGTTGCAACCGTCTCCCACTAAAAATAGTCTATCTTATCAACCCTCTCGATCACCAAGAACCAACGAAAAAAACTGGGGATCCTAATATCCAATTAGAAGGCTCCTCTCCGCCATAAAGAAACATAAACAAAATTGTCTCACAAACCCCAACAGTGCCATGCGCACGTTAAAAAAATGGGGGCGATTTGTGACATGATTCCGCCTCCAACCGAAGTTCGTTAATTTTTTCTGTCCCTTTCCATGGCAATTGGCAAAAGGGGAATATTTATATATATATTACTCGAACAGTGGCCAAAAGGACTCATGCATGGCTGCTTGCAGAGGCTGGCGCGCCGGCCTCGTTGGCAGCTCGATCGACTGCAGCTGGTGACCACGATGTATAGGACGAGGGGCCAATTAGAAACAGGCAAAGCTTCTTTGCTGCCATGTTGGGAGTTGAGACTTGAGAGAGTACAGCGTGATTACTGATTACACCAATAATTGAGCCTGTCCGTACGCGACTGACCAGCGTGCAGCGTTTTAGTATTTGTCCCTAAGACCCTAACAACCACAAAATATTGTCACGCGGCACGCGCCAAATGCGCACAGAAGGACCTGGCTAGCTAGCTAACTGAATCAGGCGAACGAGCTAGCTAGGAAACCTCGTCATGCACTTCCCCATACAAGTTCTATCGGGCGGAGGAGCACATTTCAATTCCTTTAGAAGCATGGCTACCAGTAGAAAATGGAGTAAACACATACGGCGTGGCTAGAAATCAAACTACTCAAATATAAGAAGGATCTAAGTTGTACTCCCTCCGTTCTAAAATATAAATATTTTAAGCATAGTGACAAAGTCAAATATTTTCAACTTTGACTATTAATAGCAAAAAAAATCAATCATGTAAAATTAATGTTACTAGATTTATCATTAAACAAACTATCATAATATGTAACTCATTTTATTTAAAACATCTTATTTTTATAAATATTGTTGGGTCAAAATAGCATCTTGGAGATCATGTCAGAGTCTAAAAATACTTATATTTTTGGAGGAGGGAGTAATATTTTTTTATGCGTTAAGAGTAGGGTTCCCCTTACTGTTTTCGACGCAGTTACCGGACCCCGCGCGTTACCGCGGTAACAGCAAGACATACCGTGGTTTCAAAAACTAAAAAGGTTATTGTACATGGTAACAGCGATAACCGTGCGGTTTTATAAACCCTGGTTAAGAGTAAACTGTCTCGGCTTTTAAATATTTTTAGGTATCGTGTTTGATCATTCGTCTTATTTCAAAAACTATATAAGCATCATTTATTTTTATTATGGTTTATTGTATCACTAAAGATACGTACTTTAAATATAACTTCTATTTTTTACATATTTGCACTATTTTTTTAATAAGACGAATCATCAAATGCCATATCTAAAAATGGTCATATATTTGAAATGGAGGGAATATAAGATATAGAAAGTGTTCCTTAATAATTTCGATTTAAATTTGGAAAAAGACAATATATATCAACGAAGAAATCTGCAGTTTGTAAAGATATTTCAAATATAACATGTTGAATGTAATTACATTATTTGATATCAAGATAAACTTTGTTCATCACAATAGTTTCTTCAAGACCAACATATAGAGTTGAGAATGGGTCTTAAAACTCAAGAGTAATATGAAGATTTTGCAGCTAGCATTTTAAATTAATTTTATCCGAAGGTAAACTCCTTTGGATGTCTCGAAATCAAGGCCTGTGACAAATTAAGGGGGCAAATTAAAGCTACCTATGAGGTACCGGCCTCTCATACTTTTAATTGAACTCTACTAGTATATACTGAGCTTGCATGCAACCTCCGGTTTATACAATAACAGGTAATTAAATGTTCTCTCGAAACAAATGCATGGTACCAACAACTAGTATATAATCAATCCCTTGTGTATCTATCTTATGAAATGAAAATATGTGTTTTCGTTTTGCATTGAGACGTTTTAGAGGGATGTGCTCTTAGCATGTCACCCTAGCTAAGGGACTGGTGTGCGTAGTTAAATGTTTTAAACAACAATTTTGATTATTGTTCTCTGCACTGAACCTTCTCCCATCTTAATAAATCGGAGAATGCTACAGGGCGGTATTCCGTTTGGATAGGATGATACCTTAAAGTTATCGCTTGATACTTAGATATTAGCTGATACCTACTCGGTTTCGAACGACTCAGAAGTATCATCCCGTCCGAACGGAGTATTAGCTCATCCGAACGGGGTATCAGCTGATACCAGTATACCGTCATGCAGCAT